TTCTCTGTGGATTCCCTGGGAACACCCTGCGCTGCCCCGTGGTTAAAGTCTCGTCGACGCTCTCCTCCGGTAAGCACGCCAAGCCGACCGGGTGCCTTCGTGTAGCATTCAGCCCAGCGCCCCTGCCCGCTTCAGCTGCTCGAGGTGATATGCAGCGTTACAGCCGCCGTCCGCCCCGCTAGTGATCGCCAGAGGCGTGCGGGCCCGCGAGCGAGCGCTATGCGTGTGAGCGAGGACACCCGCTCTGCGTGCTGGGCCGGCACCCGCAGGACACGCCAGCCGGGCAGGGGCGTGGGGTGGCGGCCGGCGCCCCTCCGCCTCCCCCCCCCCCCTCCTCCCCCGCCCGAGCGTCACTGACGCCAGCCGTGCGCCGCCGCAGGGGTGACGCGCGAGTCACGGGCTGCCCTCCCGGCCGCCGTGTACCGGGCGCTGCTCGAGGCGGCGCAGCAAATGATGGACGCGCTGGACCTCAACACAACGGCCGTCGAGCCTGACGGCCGGCGGCCAGTCGACGACGCTGCGCCAGTGTCGGACGACCCGGCCGCCGGTCTGGCCGCCAAGGTGCCCAAGGACTTCACGGTACGTGGCCGCTGCCGGAGTCGCGGCTGACGTGGCGCCCGAAGTGAGCTGACGCCGCGGGCATGATTGCCGCGAAAGCTGGAACTTGTCTATGTGAGGAACTGACGCGTGAACGTCACGTTCTTTTAGTTGCAGCAAGAGCTTTTGTCAGCAGGCGCTCCAGCTTGTGTTGACGGCGTCACGGAGGCCAGGCGCGATGGGGCTGCTGCCGCGCGCGTTCCATGCGCCCCTCGCCGGCGCGGGCCACGCCTCACCGCCCGGCCGGCCGGCAGGTGTTCATCAACCTGGTGGGCGTGCTGGACCACGTGCTGCTGGGCCAGCCGGCCGAGCGGTTCCTGCCGTGGCTGCCGCTGCTCGCCCGGCGTCTGGTGGAGGCCACGTGCGCGGCGCCGCTCGTCAGCGGTCTCTACCGGCTTTGCCGCGTGTGCCTGCTCAGGGCCTGCGATCTTCACTACTTCGTGGTGGGTGGCGTCCGCCTTATGACGCGTGCGCGCAGTTTTCTTGTTGTGGATGTGGGCTTGCCTCGTGGTAGGTGTTGGCTCATCTCGCGGTGGACATGGGTTTGTCTCCCGGCGGTGTTGTTCACTTCACATTTAGTGGTGGCTCGTCTCGCGGTGGGCATTGGTTCATCCCCCGGCAGTGTTGTTCACTTCACATTGAGTGTTGGCTCGTCTCACGGTGGGCATTGGTTCATCCCCCGGCGGTGTTGTTCACTTCACATTGAGTGTTGGCTCGTCTCACGGTGGGCATTGGTTCATCCCCCGGCGGTGTTGTTCACTTCACATTGAGTGTTGGCTCGTCTCGCGGTGGGCATTGGTTCATCCCCCGGCGGTGTTGTTCACTTCACATTGAGTGTTGGCTCGTCTCTCGGTGGGCATTGGCTCATCCCCCGGCAGTGTTGTTCACTTCACATTGAGTGTTGGCTCGTCTCGCGGTGGGCATTGGCTCATCCCCGGCAGGTGTTGTTCACTTCACATTGAGTGTTGGCTCGTCTCGCGGTGGGCATTGGCTCATCCCCCGGCGGTGCTGTTCGCTTCACATTGAGTGTTAGCTCGTCTCGCGGTGGGCATTGGTTCATCCCCCGGCGGTGTTGTTCACTTCACATTGAGTGTTAGCTCGTCTCGCGGTGGGCATTGGTTCATCCCCCGGCGGTGTTGTTCACTTCACATTGAGTGTTGGCTCGTCTCGCGGTGGGCATTGGCTCATGTGACGTAGGGCCACATGTCATGTTCAAGCCCAAGTCATCCGATGTGGTCTGATGACTTGGACAGCTTAGCGGTTACTATCGACCTTCTATCTGGCAATGTATGTCAGTACCGTCTAGTTCCTGGCGCTGTCCAGCGTAACCGTTGATGCGAAGCAGCGACCCATGCGCTTGGTCTTCGCGGAGCGTTTAGTCCCTGAAACATGGCGAACTCGAAACACTGCACCGGCTGCCCCAGTCGGCTGACGTTTTTCGCGTCGCCCGTGCTCGCTTTCAAGCGTTGTCGCGCGCTGAACGCAGTCACGCCGTCCGCCGCCAGTGCGACGCGGACGCGGTCGCCATGGAGACGGAGGACGCCGCCGAGCGGCGGGAGCTGCGCCAGCTGCTGGCCGAGCACGTGACGGACACGGCTGCCAAGTGCCGCCAGTACCGGGACGAGTTGCAGGAGGCCTGCGTGTCCATGGTGCTGGCCACGCCGGTGGCGCTGGCGCCCGACTGCGCGCCCCAGCTGCTGCAGGTGGTGGAGGTGAGAGGGCACGGGACACGTTTCTCGGGGTACCCCGATGAAGGGGCGGTCAGGCGGCTGGGGATAATGACGGCACAAATTGAGGACGAGAGTGCACGTTTGACGGAGACGTCGTAGAGCTTGTTTTGTGACATGTTTGCGGTGCCGGTGTTTGTCGCTTTGGCCTGTTGCATCAATGGATTTTTCCTCCGTGTTCTATGTGCTCTCCATTGTCATTGAGACAGCTGGTCTTTTGCTCTCAACACCCACTGCCAGACAGCTGGATTTCCGTATTTGAGTCTTGTGGGACAGCTGGCTTACCCTCGCTAACTCATTCTGTTGCCCAGGTTGTCTCTCCGATGACTGTCTCTCTGACTCTCTCTGTGGGTCAGATGTCTCCCTCTCTGGCCCTGTTTGCGGGTCAGGTAACCTATCTCTCCGTCTCCAGCACGCCTTGTGGAACCGGTGACACTTCTTTTTACTTATGGGGCTGTTGATCCCTAACTAATTCTTAGGCAGCTGCGACGGCTGTCGTGGTGCCGTGTCTGACCCCCTGCTTGGGCCGAGCTGCTACCCATGCGTGACTCCCCCGGCCGGGAGGAGGCGACCCGCTGTGCCTGATACTGTGTGTGTATGGGAGGCGGCTGCCCTCGTCCCTGACCCCTCTGTGTGTGTGGGACTGGGGGGGGGGGGGGGGCTGCCCTCCTCCTGATCCCTGTGTGTGTGTGTGGGGACTGGGAGGGGCAGCTGCCCTGCCTACCCTGACCCCTGTGTGTGTGTGTGTGTGGGGACTGGGAGGAGGCTGCCCATCCTCCCTGACCCCTGTGTGTGTGTTGTGGGACTGGGGGGGCGGCTGCCCTGCTCGCTGACCCTGTGTGTGTGTGGGACTGGGGGGTGGCTGCCATGCTCCCTGACCCTGGTGTAAATCCGTACCAGGTCGGTCTTGCTGGATCTGCTGGCTCTAGTGCTGACTCCATGTTCGGGGCCAGGCCACTTGTTCAGTGCCTGACACCCCTGTAGGTCTCCTGACTTGTCTGGATCAGGTTGACTCGCCTGCTGACTCCTGTTCTGAGCCGGCTGTCTCCCTGCCGCCAGTCCGGCTGACTGGCCCTGTGTCCGTGTCACGGTGGCGCTCCGCGTGGGTCGCAGTCACCTGCCGCTGGCCTGCCGGGCGCTGGACGCCCTGGACCGCTGGCTGCCGACCGTGATGCCGCTCTGCGCCGACAGCCTGCGCCAGCTGGTGCCGCCGCTCAACCAGTACCTCAGCCCGGACGGTGGGCGGGCGGGTGGCGTGCGGTCCGTGCGGTCCGTGCCCCGCGGCAGACACGCCGGCCGCCACACGAGCGGGGCGGGACGGAGGGGGGGGGGGGGGGTCGGCTACCGCGCCAGATTGGGTCGCAGAGGGACGGCTGTCGCGCGGCGCTAGGGCGCATGGTCACGTGCGTTTGGGGTGTTGAACCTCATAACGTTGGGGTTGCCCTGGACTCGTGGGGCTGGTGGTCACTCACAATGATAACTATGTCTGCACTTTCTTGAATGTCAGCATGAGCCTGTGTGCGTCATCAGTTGCATAAGTACTGACTGGCGCCCCCCACTCTTTCCGGACTGCATCTCACACCGCATGCAAGTATCGTGTTCGGTTCTTCAAACGTCTACAGTGGCCGCGCTTTGCAAGCGGCCGTGGTATTTCCATCGCCTCCTTGGTTTCCTATGATGCCATATCGTCTGGCACAGCCCCGGCCGTAGAAGCCACTGCCAAGGCGGCCGGGCTGTCGAGCTGACAGCGGCGCTCTGTCCGCCCGTGCTCGCAGCAGCCCCTCACGCGGCTGGGCCGCACAGTCAGGCCGGAGGGCCCGGCCCGGCCCGCAGCAGGGCCACCGTCGATGTCAAGAAGATTGCCAAGACACAGCTGGTGAGTTGGCGCCCGGCCGCCTTCAGGCATCGGGTTATGGGGGACCGGCTAGAAAAAACAACCTGGGGCATTTTGTGTGACCCGTGTCAGGTTGCTCGGCCTACTCTCGCAGCGTCATGTATGGAGTTGTGGACCGGGGATGCATTATTCTTTAAGGCAGTTCGATGTTTTAAAACTGAGGGATCGTTCACCCAAAGTCCAATGGAGCGTTTTCCTCATGCACGGGGAAAGATCACGTACACTGACGCCTCGGCCGTCGTCGCTCACGCCCGCACGGGCTTCTATGCTGTTCTGGCCCCTGTTAAGTCAGTTTCAAACAAGGGCGCTCTGCTCTTGAGTTTCCCTCGCAGCTCGGCAGGCTCAAGCAGTGGGGTTCTAACGGCCTTGACAGGATGCGGTTCTGGGGCCCGTCGCCGTGGTGCAGGAGCTGCAGAGTTGTATCGGACCCTCTCACCTGGGTCGTGTCCACATGCTTCCATCGGACGCGTCCCGTCTCTCCACCCTGCCGTCGGTCTTCAGTGCGCAGAGCAGTTCACGTGGCCCCCTGGCAGCCCCCGGCCGCATCGGTCCTTCAGTGCGCAGAGCACTGTTCACATTGGTCCCCCCCCCCCCCCCTGGCAGCCCCATGGCCATCAGTCTTCAGTGCGCAGAACAGTTCACGTGGCCCCCCTGGCAGCCCCCGGCCATCGGTCTTCAGTGCGCAGAGCAGTTCACGGGGTCCCCCTTACTGCCGTGATGCTCCGGTGTCGGCGCTATCTGTGAGCGGCCGGTGATGCCGCCGGCAGCGCGCCGAGTCGGAGCTGGAGGCGCTGCGCTGGCGGGTGCTGCAGCTGCTGGGCGCGCTGGCCGCCGCTGGCCTAGTGCCCGACGCCGACGCCGAGCTGGTCGCCTGGAGCCGGAGCCGTGTGCTCCGCCTGGCCGTGCCCTTCCACGACCTGAAGCCTACCCTCTGGCTGGGTGAGCAAGGCGACGCTGCGCAGCCCACGCTGATCCTGGCACGGAGTCCGGAGCGGACCTCTACGCTGTGGTCTGAGATGCACCGTCCTGCGCGGTGACCGCCGTGAGCTGTTTTGGCGTTAGATGGAATCTGTCTCATTTGATCTGGCCCCGACTCGTCTCTGCGTTGTAGGCTACGTCCATAGTTTTAATCGTCGAACGTGTGTGTCTGGCATGCGATGTGACACGCGATCTTGGCGCCCAGAAGCCCAGATGACAGCCGTCACGCGGCCGCGCGCGCACTCATGCCACCGTGCCATGTGGGACCCGCCGGGCATGAAGGGCCCGCCGTGCTCCCGCTGCTGGTAGTCGGTGGGACTGCTGGCGGGTGCGGTCGTGACGCGCGCCGGCTCCGCACGCAGAGGAGTTCCTGCCGCGAGTGGTGCACCTGGCGCTCTCCTCCGGTCACGCGCAGGCCACGGCCTCCGCCTGCGAACTGCTGCACGCCATCACCATCTTCACGCTGGGCAAAGGTACAAAGTGGGGCTCCGTTAACGACTTGGCCATCTCGCGGCGAATGCGAATGGATGTTCAGACGATTGACGCGTCGTTGCTCTCACCATGCGTGGGATGCTCCTGTTGTTGTTGGTCAAAGGGACTAACTCGTGCATCTGTTTGTGTTTGCATCACGCGATAAGGAGGTGATGGGATACCCAACTAGGTTACTATTTGATCTTGCCTGACTTTCGTTGGCTGGCGTAACGAGCATAACGCTTCCTCATTTTCGCGCGGAGCGCTTCTTGGCGCAGGTGGCGCCATCCGCCGCTGCATCGTCGGCTGGTAAGCTGCCGTCGGCTGACGCTCCCTCCCCTCGCCGCCCCTCCGCCGCCAGGCGCCACGAGCTCTGCCGATGGCGGGTGGCTGCGGCCCGTGTACGCCCGCCTGCTGCCGGCGCTGGTGCGGCTGGCCGCCAGCCCGGACCTGGTGGTGCGCCAGCTGTTCGGGCCGCTGCTCACGCAGATCACGCACTGGTTCACCACCGACCGCATGTACCGGCGACCCGAGGCGGCCGCCCTGCTGCAGGCGCTGCTGGTCAGTGGCGCGGCCGCCGCGCACGCCGGTCCGCTCGAGTCGGATGTGGCGCGCCGTTGCTGAGGCGGGCCGGGTCAGACTGTCCAGAACGTTCCTGGCGCGGTACCGAAACGTCCGCTGCCCCTGCTATTTGACACGCCCTTTTCCTGTGGCTTTGTTTGGCGCGCGAGCTCGTGTGACGGCGCAGCAGGCCCGCTGTTCGGCGGTTGTCCGTGCGCTGTGCGGACCGGCGGAAGCCCTGCCACCTCGCTGCTCGCCCGGCCTTGTCGGCTGTCGCACGGTACGGCGGCAGGAGACGGAGGCGTGACGCCGGCCCGCGTGTCCGGCAGGACGGTCTGGTGGGTGCGGCGGACCCCTCGCGCCGGGACGTGTGCGCTCGCACGCTGCCCGAGTATCTGCTCTGGTCGCTGAAGCAGCAACGGGGCAGCGCCGTCGAGAAGGTGGCGCCCATCATGCAGCCGCTTTACAGTTACCTGCGGCACCCGGACCCGTACAGACGGCTCGGTAGGTGACCCGCTGCCATCGGGAGCCAGAGCGGACGGCACTCTCGGCTGCCATGTCGCGCATCAACAGGCTGCTGCTGCGGTGCGATCCGTGCTGTCCTCTGGTTGCCATGTGGCGACGTCAGCTGTGCGGGACATCAGCCGCCACCAGCTGACTCGCAGCCCGTCGCCGACAGGCGGCACGGTGGCCTTCAACAGCATGTACCGAGTGTTCCGTGAGGACTCCTCCCTGCTGGACGTGTACTTGCTGGAAGTGACGGTGGCGCTGCTCGCGGCGTTGGCGCGCGCGCACGCCGACCCGCCGCCGCTGGGCACGGCGCAGGCGGCGGTCGCCGCCGTCACACACTGCCAGCGCATGCTGAAGGAGCGGGCTGCGCTGCTCTGCCAGGTGACACGCAGAAATCCAGGGTGGCTGGGTCGGTCGCCCAGCGGCTGTTGGAGCTCGGCCGGGCTGTCCGGTTGGCTGAGAGATGGACAAAGGGGCTAACCAATGGTGGGATGTCGACCTTAAGGCGGAGTGAGGGTCTCAGACCGTCTCTGCTCAGGAAGTCTCAGCCCTACAATGGGGATGCATTGCCTAAGATGACGTGTCGCGAAAGCATTGCGTCGGGATCCTGCCCTTTGGATCACTTACAGGGTGGCATGACGTCCTATTTGTTATTGTGCTGCTATCGGCATAGTGGACGAAGATGTCCAACCTCGATCCCCACAGCTTCTGCCGTCGCGCACGCAGCGGCCGCGTCGCACCGCACCCTCTGCCCGCCGGCGCCGGGCGGGGGTGCGGGGCCGGCCGGACACGTGACCTCAGTGTGCGCCGGCAGGTCAGCGGCGATCGCCATGTGCCGCCCGGCTGGAGCCAGGCCACGCTGCCGGCGCTGCTCGACTGGCTGGTGCGTCAGTGCGGCGCGCCGCAGGCCGAGTACCGGCACGCCTGCTTTGGTCTGGTGGTGGAGCTGGCGCCGCACGTGCCCGGGGAGACCCCCCCCCCCCCCCCCCCCCTTTTGGATCGGCCTGTTGCTTGTGCACAAAGACGTTCTTCACTGTGACGAGTGAAAGCATGACAACCCGTTTGGTAAACCAACTGATCAGTGTTGGCACGCCGCCTCGGATGGAGGGCAGCGCCACCGCCCGCCGCCGTCCGCCCCTGCTCGTGTGACGTCCGGCCCGCCCGGCAGGCGGCGGCTCGGTGGGCGAGCTGCTGGAGGTGGCCGGCGGCGCGGCGGCAGTGTTCGAGCGGGCGCTGACGGCAGCGGCGCGCGACCTGTCCGCGCCCGAGCCGGCAGCCGCCTGGCTGGACGCGCTGCTCGCCGCGCTCGACGGCTACAGCTGGGCGATGGCCGTGAGCGCGCTGCCGACCGGGTGGCCGCTGTCCGCCGGCTCGCGCCTCCTCCAGTACGTCCAGGCCCTGCTGACGGACGTGTTCGCGGTCGACTTCGGCGGCGGCGGCCGCTGGGCGCACGCGCGCCGGCTGCGCTGCGCGGCGCTGGTGCGCGCGCTGGCCGTGCTCGAGCGGTGCTGCGCCGCGCGCCCGAAGCGACGCGCGACGTGTGGACGCCCGCCGCCTGCGACGTGCTGGCGGCCGCGGTGCTGGCGCCGGCCACGCTCGGTTTCGACGTGCGCGACGCCGAGGTGCTGTCGCTGCTGCCGAAGGCGCTGGCCGAGCTGCTGCGCGCCGCCGCCAGGGCGACCGCTCCCGCGCCGGCCGAGCAGCTGGCAGCGGGTCTGGCGCGGCGCGTCGCCGGCAGTGATGTGTGCAGCGCGCTGGCGGCCGCGCTGGCCGGCGCACACGAGCCGGCGGCGGAGGCTCGCGTGTGTGGACTGAGTGCCGTGCACGAGAGCGGCCTGCTGGCGCGGCTGCCGGAGGTGAGGCGCGTGTGAGGAGCGAGCGGCCGCCGTCAGATGCGTGGCTTTGCAGCTGGTTTACAGGCTGGTTGGGTTCAAGATATAGTAAGAGACATGTGCGTGCTAACAAATTGGTTTCCATTAGCGACTGTGCGAATGTTTCCATCCAGCTCGGCTGTACCGCTCAAGCAGTAAGCGCTGTACATTTGGGACCAGCACAACCTCTAACCCATCCAAGGGGCGATTGTATTGCTTAGTGCTTCCAGTGCCTGGCGGCTCCTGTCATCAGTGACTGCGTCCGTGCCGCAGGTGCTGCCGGCGCTGCGCGTCTCCGGTGATGACCTGTTCCGGACGGTGTGGGACGCCTTCGTGCAGACCACGGCCAGCAGTCTGGCACGCTCGGAGCTGGACCCTTCGGCGCGCCGCCTGGCCGCCGCGGCGCTCTCGCGCCCCGTCTGCAGCTGGGTGTGACGGTGAGGGAGGAGCGAGGGAGGGAGGGAGATCTCCGCCGTCCTCCGGCGGCTGGGTGGACGGGTGAGGAGGAGCGAGGGAGGGAGGGAGGAGATCTCCTCCGTCCGGCGGCTGGGTGTGACGGTGAGGGAGGAGCGAGGGAGGGAGGGAGATCTCCTCCGTCCGGCGGCTGGGTGTGACGGTGAGGGAGGAGCGAGGGAGGGAGGGAGCTCTCCGCCGTCCGGCGGCTGGGTGTGACGGTGAGGGAGGAGCGAGGGAGGGAGGGAGATCTCCTCCGTCCGGCGGCTGGGTGTGAGACTGGAGGGTAGAGGTAGAGGACTGGTGATGTGCCTGGGACTCCTTCCAGTTTATCTGGCTTCATATGGGTGTTTTTCTCAGTGGGGGTGGTAAATCAACCTAAACCAAGCCAGCCGTTGTTGGTGGAGCTGGTGTCTGACCTGACCCGGTCTGACTGACCTGACCCTAACCCGAGCCTACTGCTGGACTCTGCTGTCGGTGGAGCTGGTGCGTGGCGGGACCTTGACCTGATCTGACCCAGCCGAGCCTTCTGCTGGACTCGGCTGCTGTCGGTGGAGCCGGTGGGTGGCCTGACCTGATCTGACCTGACCCAGCCGAGCCTGCTGCTGGACATCGCTGCTGTCGGTGGAACCGGTGGGTGGCCTGACCTGACCTGACCTGAACCCAGCCGAGCCTTCTGCTGGCGACCCTTCTGCTGACTCGTGCTGTCGGTGGAGCCGGTGCGTGGCGGGTCGTCGCGCCAGTCGGGCGTCGAGCGTGGTTGGTTCACGTTCGACCGCCTGTCGGAGGTGCTGGTGCCCAACCTGCTGCGGCCGGCGCCGCGGGAGGCCGTTCTGGTGCCGCTGGTGGCGCGCGCCGCCGCGCACCCGTGCGGCATCGACCTGCTGACGGCCGTGGCGCGCGTCACGGCCGCCAGCCAGCAGCTGCGGCAGAGGTGGGTCGCTGCAGGGACGACTGGGTCGCCGAACGAGTGACTTGGTGCCGTTGTGTGTGCCGTTGGCGAGGATTCGGCGGAGTTGTGTTGCGCTGGGGCTGATACGCCATCTGGCAAACAGTGTGCCAGATGCTCGCTGAGGTCTCAACGAAAGGGGTGTCGCGTTACGGCTGTAAGCGATTTCTAGTTGCTGTTATGTGGTGCTTCGCCCCATCTAAAGCGAGCGACCGTGTGGACCATGGCTCGGTCGGGCAGCGTGTCGTGTGCCCCGCGCCGTGTGACGCCGCCGCCTCACTGTCTGCACCGGCCGTCGCCGCCACAGACACGGCGCCCAGCTGGCCGAGCTGGTGGTCAGTCGCTGGCAGCAGCTGGCGCCGGCGCCCGAGGCCACTCTGTTGCCGCTGCTGTCGCTGCTGCTGCTATTGCACCTGCCGCTGGCCGCCCAGCCCTGGGCCACGCAGCTGGTCAGCTGGTACCGCGAGCTGCTGGCCAGCAGCCGGCTGACGCTCGACCAGAAGAAGCCGGCCGTGCGCCAGCTGTCCGCCATGCTGCGCTCGCCGACGCTGGCCGCCGACATCTGGTGAGCCGGGGCTCAGAGTTAGGCTGTGGCCGGCTCCTTCGAGCTCCGGACTGTTGACTCACAATCTCGCAGTGGCTACTGCAGTGGTCAGCACGGAAGCAGAGATGCAGGCGCCAAGCGATTCGGACGGGGCGTGGCAAATCGCTGCAAGGCTAGAAAGTCGCAATACCTGCGGGTGATTCCTCACATTCGTAGCGAATTGCAGGCTGCTGCTGCTGCTGCAGTTCGGCTCAACCTGTTCGGCGTTGTGAGGGTGCCCGAAGCCGACTCATATCTAGCACTACGACCACCCGTCGCTGTGTGTGCAGCTACTGGAGCTGCCGGTTCACTTATTGCTGCCGGCTGTCGTCAGCCGTCGAGGCCGTAGGCTACTCGTTGTCAGTGGTGTCCTTCGCCGCGCATGCCTGACCCTCTCCGGACGGCCAGCCCGCTGCTGGAGCAGCTGGAGGTGCGCCACTTCCCGCTGGAGTCGTCGGAGCTGGAGCGCCACCCTGCGGCGCTGGCCACCTACCGGGCGGTGCTGGCTGCCCTCTGCGAGGCGTTGGAGCTGACGGCGCACGCGCAGCTGGGGGCCCACCTGG